ACGTATTTGAATTTCAAAATTGATTTTAAAATAAAGAATTACATTACTTTAACGTAGTTAATAGTTGAAAAGTTATATGTTATTATTTGATCTTTTTTAGTATAGACATCAAGCATGAAATATTATATTGATTAATAATGAATAATAAACTAAATGTTTTACTTTGAAAAAATTATATTTGATAATAATCAAATATGATTGTTTATATTTTATAGATCTAAAATTATATAAGATGAAGTACTATGTATTAATTTTTATTTCTAAATGTCGTAACAAAACATTATTATTAAAAATCATTAAAATTTACAATAAAAAAATTAATAAATCTAAGCAAAATATTTAATATATAATTTATAGTAAATTTTAAGATAAATTTAAAAGGTATATGTTATAAAATGATTAATTTTTTTTAAAAAATATTATAAGAACTTTTAAATGTAAAGGACGAACTATATAAAAGTGACTACTTGCAACGCAACAACGTAACAATGCAACAGGCTAACCTTGTTTCGATTATTTTTATATGTATTATAATTGATGAAAAATAAAAAATATATTTATATTCCTAAGAATGTGTCATGTGTATGCGTGTATACGCGTATATATTAATCACCATCCGCGTACATTTTGCTGTACACCAAAGAAGTCACTGCACGAAATACGACCGTTCGAAAACATTCACTCTATTTCCACGGGTCCCATCGTCCTTATCCGTCGCTTAGGAAACGTGTTCTTATCACCAACAGTTCCTTCACACTAATATCCGTATAAATCGATTAAACCGGAATAAAGTCCCGAGCAATCTATTCGAAAAAGGCGCGTTAGGCAGTGAACAACCTAACCTCAACGCACGGTTGTCACGCGGTTCGACGTTCTTGTATAGCTTCGATAAATTGTAAACTCGTTTGACAACTGTCGTAACGTGTAGTTTGAAACTTGTTAATCACGATATAGTATATTAAAAAACAACAAACGGATAACAATTTGATTAACGAAACGATGTAACGCGGGTGAATTCAAATTCAAACAAGTCATATAATCCCGCCACGATAGGCCACTCTGACCTAACCTCTCGATGAATGATAATACCCGACGAGTACCTCAACTAGTAGCTCGGTCACCCGGGTACGGGTCTCTGGTAATGCACTAAACGTGAGCCAGGTGCAAGAGAGGGGTGATTACAAGAGGAAGGCGCCAGGCCCGTGCGAGCAACCTCGTGGACATGCGAGTGCAGACTGATTGGAGTGTGAGGGTACTTACCCACGAGTCGTGAGAACGGTGGCGGTGGCGGTGGCGGTGGTGGAGGCGAGGTAGAGGCGTGGAGAAACAAACCGGCGGCGGTGCTGGCGTGCGCGCGTGTTTTCCGCCGCCATTACTGGCGCCACTGTAGCACCACTTTCGTAATACGCATGCGCGGCATGCGCACACGTTTGATGCGCAATCGTTGCCGCGATACATTGAGGTTTAATCGTGCGCTGACTGCGCGACTGGTAACATCTTGTATAATTTGTTGCAATGATAATCAAATCTATACGCAAATTTTCTTTATAATTAATTCTTCCTTGAATCTTTTGTGATAAAAGTGAATAGTCCTATATTCTATAATAAACATTTTTTTCAATAGTTTTAATATAATAATATAATACAATATAATATAATATAATATAATATTTATAATATATCAATTATATATAGATTATTTTATCTAAACTTTATATTCATAATTATATTCTTCGATTGTGACGACAAGAAAAGTGTATCATTTTTAAATCGTTTTTCTTTAAAATATAAAATATATATTTTATTTTTTCTGAGTAATTATAAGTTTCTTAATTATATTATTTTCTCTGGAAAATTTATCGATATAATTATAATTGTTATAATTATAATTATAATATATAGTCGATTATTTAATTACATTAGAAATTTAATAAAATTTTTCAAAGTTATTACAATATAATTCATAAATATATATAAATGTCAATTATATGTATAACATATAAAAAATATTGTTAGATTATTTTAGAAAATTAAAAAATATATATTTTTTATTTCCGTATATGAATTCTTCAAAATTCTTGGAATTCATAAGAAAATTTATATTACTAAAAGATTCGTGAATATATAACTATATATACGTATATACATGATACATATATTCATTCTTATAGATCTTATAGATTTTACGATTTTTAAATTATTTAAATAATTGCAGTATCATTTCATTTTTTTTATATGAGAAAATATGCAATTGTTTAAATATTAATAATATACATATTTTTAAGAAACTTTTTAAATAAAAATATCTTTACGTTATTTTTGAAAACAGCCAACTTAGTAAGTGCTGCCATCTGTTAGAAAATGGTCGAAATTAGATATTTCAGTTAAATACAACAATTTATATAATAAAATTACTAAAAATATTTTATTTTTAAAAAAATTTAAACCAAATTTAATAAATTATCTAATGGGTTACAAAAAAAGTCGAGATAAATAAAAAAAAATGTATATTATCAACAGATATATTCGTACACTGATATTTCTACAAATGATAACTACATGAAAATTTGTACAAACGAGATATTGAACATATTTAATATTTAATGTGATTCAATTTTTTTGCTCTATATCTATTTATACCCGTGAATAATAAAATTTCCCTTTTTTCATTTATTCATTTAATTCAGGCTAAATCTTATATATAAAAAATTAAATTAATGAATATAAATTATACGTTTAAAATTCCGCTAGTAAATTTTATCTATATAAATTATAATAAATTCATGTTTTAAAGTATTGCTTCGAAGTATTGTGATTACATTTTATATTTTATTAATTAAGAAAAAATATATAAAAGCAGAGTTACAAAAATGTGTGTGTAATAATTTTATTTAAAGTGGTATCGAAATTCGATGTTCAAAATATACAATTATTAACATGTACATTTATAATCTTTTTTAACACAATATTGAAAAATTAAATTCATATGTAGTATAATGCTGAATAATATCACGAAGAGTAAATTTCAGAAAAAATCGGATAAAACAATAGGATAAAATAATAGGTAGTGTATAAAATATTTCCAATCTTTAAACATGAAATGTACACAAATTTACATATATTTAATATCAGTTCTGTACTCTCAAATATTTTTCCTTTTATTATTTTATATACTTATATGCGAAATAATAATACCAAGTCTTATTTTTTTTTAATATACTTTGTTGTAAAGATCATTATATACATATTTTATACAGTTCTGATATATTTCAAATAATTATTATATATCAATTTATTTAATTATGAAAATAATTAAATAATCAAGTAATACTTTTTAAATCAAACATGAAAAAAATATGAATTTTTAAATAAAAGCTTAGATTTGAAAATATAATACTCATATGTTGAAAATAATTAGAAAATATATATAATTATATGCATATTTATATGCAAATATTATACTATCAAATATGAATAGATATACGCAAAAATGTTTTAAATGTTTAAAAAAAAATTATATTTTAATAATTGAATAAAGAATAAAATTCACAGTAATTTTTATTATTTTCAATAGAATTGTAAGTATATAATTTAAAGAATTTATTTGTTGCTTTTATCACTTTTACTTGTTACTAAATATATTTTAGAGAAAACATTTAAAATGACTAAAATCATATTTGTCTAAAACATTCACAGTCTTTCACAAAATTATAATTACATGAATATATGGATTAACAAATTATTTTTGTACTAGATGAAATTATAAACATATTATGTAATTAAATAATTAAATTTGCAAATTTTATTGACTTTAGTTTTATATTATTTAAACAATATTGATTTTCTATCAATTTTACGATTATTATATATTAAAATTATTAAAGATATAAAAAAAGAATATAATAGAAAATTTTCATTATAAGAAATTCATTTTACACTTCTATTTAGATTCTTGTAATTATTTTAAAAATTACTTAATTCGATAAAAAAAAATCAAATCGATTTCAATTACGCCAATTAAATGAAATTATGATTCTATTTTGATATTTCAAACTACATATTTTATATCATATTTCATGCTATACGTATTTACTATATTATCAATAAATAATATAATACAAATAACTTTCGTTATTATTTTATACATAACAATATTTTGTATTCGTACTTTTACTGTTAATTATTAACAATTTTGAAATATTCCAATTATTTGCTTTGTAGTTATATAAAGCACTTCTTTTTTTTATACTATCATGATTATATTATATCTATAAATTAATATAATTATATATTTATTTTACAAAACTATGATAAGAGGAACGCAAACAACAAATGTATTCAAATAGACAATTACATTTCATTGACATAGAGGTGAAATCATTCAAAATTTATATATATATATGCAATCATATATATGCATTATAATGGAAAAATAGAATATAGAGTAACGATCAAACTTAAAATAATCTATATAATACATTTTCAAATATATCTTATTTAATTAAAACATATTTATCTAAGATTTTCATAAAGCTTTCTAATATTGATTCAAATTGAATTGAAAGCAAATGATATGGATAAAAAATTAATAAAATTTAAATTTTTTTACTGTATCTATTTGTTGAATACATTCTATGTGAATTGTGAAATTAATAAATATTAAGAAAAATTTCTTTTTTAAAAGATAAATATCATAAAAGAAATATCATTAAAGAAAGCACATGTTTTTTACTTTTTCCATTTTGCAAAATTATTTTTCATTAGAATTTTCATTAGAATAGTTAATATCTTTTGTTGATATTGTTTTACAAATCGTATACATTAATTGGACAAAAATATACGTGATTTTTGAAAATACAGTAATATAATATTCCCTTCAAAAATATAAAGCTTATAACTATAATTTTACATCATTGTTTATCATTTCAAAGTACATATATATAATGTACAATTTTGAGATGCTTTTTAATATTTTCTTTAATAATTTAATTTAGAAAAAAATGTGTATTCTATTTTCAAAATATATGTAAACTAAAAAATATATTTATACAATATATAATAATAAAAAAAGAAGCTCTATTAACCATATTGTATAAGATTAAAAAGAGCATCAACATTTTCTTTCTCAGACTCTTGTTGTACAACTTGTGTAACATCTTGAGTTAATAGAACTTGTTCTATTAAAACAGTCTCTGAATTAGTTAGTTGTTCTGAAGCTGCAATATTCTCTTCTTTAACTTCTTCTTGTTCATTATTTGACTTGATCACATTTTTCCTCCGTTTCGTTCTAGGTCTGTCTGTATGTATCCTCATATGCCGCCGTAAATCATATTTTCCAACAAAACGGGCATTACAAATTTCACATCCGAATGGTTTACCACCAGTATGAGTCCACATGTGACGTCTCAATGCAGCACTAAATGTAAACGCTATTCCACAAACATTACAAACATATGGTTTTTCACCTGTATGTAAAAGACTATGATCTCTTAACGTTGCCTTTTGATTAAATCGTTTTCCACAGACTTCACACGTGTAACTTCGCGGATTCGAATGAATTCTGACGTGATTCAACAAATTTCCTTGTTGTGAGAACGATCGTCCACATACCTCGCATTTGAATGGCTTCTCACCAGTATGAACACGCATATGTGTCTCTAATGTGCGATTATTTAAAAATCTCTTTCCACAAACTGTACAGGGATACTTAGGTAAATGAAGACCTTGCGGATCTAAATGAGTAATCAAATGTCGTTTGTAATTACCTTTATGATTAAATAATCGTGGACATTGACTACATGCATAAGGCGCACCACGTATGTGTGTTGTAACGTGAGACTCTAATTCCGATTTAACCTTAAATCTGAGACCGCATTTCGGACATCGATGCCTTGGAAAATCTGTGTGGCACACCATGTGTCTTTTTAAGTATCTTTTCATCGTATAAGCTTTATTGCATATGAAACAGGAATAGGGAAATTGACCTGTGTGCGTTTTTACGTGCGTACGTAATTCTCTGTGACTCTCACAATCTTTCTCGCATACTACACAAAAGAATGGTCCACTACTTGGCACATGATTATCTATAGTATGCAACAAAACACCAGTCAACTTATCATAATTTTGCAAGCATAGAGTACATTGATACTGTATTACATCATCTTCAAGTTTGATTTCTTTTATTCTCGTTATTGTGTCATTCAAGCTACCTAATATATTATCTTTTGGATCAACAAAATAATCAGAATCAGAATCATTGCTTTCTTCTGGTTGATCAAACTCTAGCGAATTTTTTTGTATATTTTTCTCATTAATTTTTTCTTTTGATTTTTCTTCCGAAATTGTAGATTTCCAGATTACTTCGTCCTTATTAGTTTTATTATCATCTCTAGTTTCTTCAGTTTTTTCATTACACACGGTATTTAAAAATTCTTCGTTGTCTACCGATTCATCTAAAAGCTCACCATTACAATTAACTTCGTCAATTTTTTTATCTTCTAATTTAACCACAGCATCACAAGAAAGCGTATTGTCTGCATTCACATTCTCTACATTCTCTAAAGAAACATCTTCCGGTATATACATTATCGTATAGTCTAATTGTTGGGATTCTAAAATCTTCGAAATTTCATCAGGTATCTCGCCCTTTAATCGTTTATCTTGATCAATTTCTGCTCCTGATAGTTTCGAAATAATAATATTTCTTAATGCGGATATACCATCCTTAGAAAATTCACCGTTTTCTTCCACTAAATCAGATACGTCAAGCTCTAATGCTTGTTCGTCTTTATGATTTACATTCATTCGTTCAGATAAAAATTCTTCTGAACTGTCTGTATCATTAATAGGCCTAATATCTTGTTTATCATCTAATAGTTTCACTTCTGATAATTCGTCATTCGATTGTTCTGAACAGTCTTGTTCAAAATCGTCGCCCATTGCCTCTTCCTGAAAGGCAATATCAACAAGTTGGGAACGATGTTAATGCTTCCACATTACGTGCAATTATATGCCATGACGAAGTTAACGAAATTAAGAAAATGCAAGCACATAGCTGAGACAAAATCGATACAAGAAAGGTTACCTTTATGAAAGAGTAATATAATAAGAATAATCAATTAAAATTATAAAATAAAAATTATTTTTCAGCTTTTGAATAATGTATGTTTGAATAGAAACATTATATTCCATAATTATTATTTATTATTCAAAATTGTTATTTTGTTATAATCTAATATTTTTATATTTCTATTTTTATAATTCTATTTTTTCTGTATAATTTAATTTTTCGATATTTCGATTAAGATTAATATATTTTATATATTAATATATAAAAATATAAAAATTAAATGTAAATTTTGAATAATCAATAAATAATAATGAAAAATCATTTTCAAGAAAAATTATTTCTCATAACAAAAAAAATAATCTTTCTAAATAAATAGGAATAGAATAGTAGAAAAGCACTTTAGAGAAAAGTGTAATAGATAAAGTTATTTGTTTTGAATAAATGTTAATGTAATATTATTTTTAAATCTTTTAAGAAATCAAATAATGTATTTAATATTATTTAAAATAAAAAAAATTACATATATTATAAATCTACAATATATAAGTTTATTACGTATAATATTATTTAATAAGAATATTGATATTAATATTACATTATATAATATTAAATTTCATTAATTTTGAAAGTTTTAAAATAAATATAATCAAACTTAACAAAATTTAAAATAAAACTTAGCCTTATATATATATATATATATACATTTATAAATTTATAAAAACATAAAAACTAATATAAAGGAAAATATATTTTAATATAATTAATCTTAATAAATAATTAATTAATTAATAATTATAAAAAATCAGAAATCTTACCTTTATGTTATATGAAATTTGTGTTTCAAACATTTTGCGAAGTTTCTTTTCAGTAGCTTGAACTTGTAACTTGAAATCATAAAATGCATTTGTGCGATAAGCACACTTTGCACAAAGCATATTTGGTAATCCATCAAATCTATCAATCTATTTAAAAAATCAAATTATTTAAATTAATATAAATAATTTAACTTATATAAAATTACAATAGATATGAAACACATTTTTTCAAAATTTATTATATACTTTTTTAATAATTTTATAGATTAGTAATTATTGAAATATATATATATTATGAATAATTTATTTTGAATTATATATTTACACAATATATAGAATAATAATTTTGTACGTATTATTATAAATTGTTTTTATAATTATATTTTGTATTATATATATATATTTATATATATTTTAATTGTTTATGATACATGATTAAATTTTACATCAAATTTTGAATTGTGAATTAACGCTGTATATAAATTAGAAAAACCAAACATATTGAAAATAATTTTTAAATAGAAAATAAATATAATATAAATATCTTATAATTTTGGTTAGAAACATTATAAACATTATTTTATAAACATTAATCGATTCTATTTTACTACAAAATTTATTTTTATTCTTAAAGTTCGATTTAAAAATATTTTATATATTTATTATTATGAAATAAATAGTTTAAATATCTAATGATATCATTTTGAGGTTATATTATGAAGTTACAAATTTACACATGATAGCTTGATTGAAATATATTATTACGTAAAGAATATTTTACAAAAAAAATACGTATAATAAATTATAATTTATAAATAACCTGTATTGATGCAAGTTCAGCAAGCTTATCAGGTAAATTTTTTTGACTAATCGTGTCGTCATCATACATAGGAAGAAGTACACCGTCAACTTTCATACATCCTCGACACATGTTAGCACAGGTAATTTCCCAACTCATTGTTATCTTTGATACTCTAATACGAATAAAATTAGATTTTCACAGCGTTGTTGCTCATTTAGAAATAAATGCATTTCACATTTCGCGGTCAGTGCCTTGTTTCCTATGGAACATTATCGTCAACATAACGTTCAGTCATTAACTGTAGAGTTTATAATCCACACGTGTATTGAGTAACGCAACTTCACAATACTGAAGCGACATCTAATGTAGATTATTTTGTACAAATACATAATTGATTAAAAGGAATTATTTAAGTATATCGATTAGTAAATTTTGAATTTTGAACATATATATATATTTATAAACAAACATCATTCTCTGTACTGTAATAAATATATATATATATATATATATATATTTTAACATTTTAAATAAAATCTTATATAAAGTATAATTTTTAATTATTTATTTTATAAGATTCTAACATTAATATTTAATATTTTTGTAATAATAATTTTTATAATAATAATAACTATTCATTCATTTATTTGTTCTCTTAATATAATTATCTTAATATATAATACAATTATATTCTATTTAATCTAATTTCAATAATATTTTTGAATATAAAAAATTTTTAATAAATAAATTAAATTATTTTAAATTATATTTAAATCTCTTCTTTGATAAATTTTTATATTAAATTAATTGTATTAATATATTCTTATTATAGTTTTAATAAATATATGTTTAAAATTTTATATTATAAAGCTTCACATTTAAAATGTTATATAATAATTAAATTTTCCGCGCAATTTTAAATGAATAAGGAACCATATCATTTCAGCCAATTAGAATGTCGATAAACGAATCGGTTCGCATGGCGTCAGTTATATGTTAAAAATCGTGATAACAGGATGTATTACATCGGCAGAAATAAGTAATCATGTGAAATTTTTATTGATTGATATTTTATTACGATTTATAATAGCCTCGTTTAATTATTAATAAGTGAAGTGTACGTTCAACTTATTTTCGAATCAAAAAAAAACTTCTTTACTATTTAAAATTCGATAGCAAATTGCGGCACAATGTATCATTATATTTATCAAAAATTGTAGCAATTAAATTATCTTTTTTTAATTATCTGCGCAATTACTTCTATAGTTATTCTTTTATTATTCATATTCTTTTTTTTTTATGTGATAACATAATTAGTTTTAAGTCTATATATTTTATATTTTAAAATTTTAATTTTTTTTTTTTTTTTTTTGATAGATTATTAATTGATACAATTTCCAAGGCGGGAAAAATTTCAACATGGACATCAAAATGATCGATTATTCAGAGAAGTGTTATATTTTGTATAAAAATTGTATTCTTTAGTTGGTGTTTAATACGTAATAGTTTTTTTAATCATTGAGAGCATGTGATTATTGAGAGCATGAATCAATGTTTTTTTTTTATCGATTATAACTTAAATAGATGCTATAATAGTGTTTTTTTTTTAATGTTTATTTTCGATGTGTACTAGTACTGAATCAGTGTATAAGTGTATATAGTAGTGTATATATAATATAAGTTTCTTTTTTTAAAGAAGATAAGATAATCATCAATTACAAAGAGGTTATTATATTTTAATCAATTTAAATTTTTATTTTATAGTTCTATTAAAATAGAATTTAATTTTTAAATTTTAAATTTATAGTAATATTTTTTTTTATTAATATTATAATTCATTAGAATTTTAATTCTTGTTACTATTATATTTTGTTAAATTGTTATATTTTTATATCTTTTTTTTGTATTAATTTTTTCAAATAATCGACTTTTTTTTTAAATTATGAAGTTGAAATGTTTCGAATTGTATTACAGATTTCTTTTATATTCTCCTACATGATGACAGTCTTTTTTTTGAGCTACAATGATAACACCATTCTTCCTATCTATAAAGGTAAGTCACATCATATTTTTACTTCTCTATTCTCTATTTCAATCAATTCATATAACGAAAAATCCGTATTGATATGAATGACTAATTGTCATCAATATTTAAAATCAAATAAAAAATCAGGATATATTTGTACATATATATATATATATAGTATTAATATTTATAAAAATTAAGTCATGTTAAAAAAAAAAAGATCGTTATATTTTATGTGCTTTATTTCATAGGTATAATATAGAACAACATGTATATACACCTTTTATTAATTGTTTTTATCATAAAATTGTTTTTAAATTGTTTTAAAAAGTTAGTTTATATTGCAAAGCAGTTATTTCACATAGTATAATTTATAGATTCTCCCCATCTATATAAAAAAGTTAGCTTGGTCAGGTTAAAAGCTACTTATCACGATATTTCGAGAATTGAGGCTATTAGCTGCCCGAGGGATAAAGATGACAAGGTGTTCTCGAGTCACGTAGATAGTAGCATAAGTTAAGGTCACTATTATGCAAGATATCATTTAAAATATAAAATTGTTTTTTGAATTTTTTAAATACTCACATATAAAATGTTTCTAAACATGACAAAATGATAGTAATAATGATACATAATTATATCGGTTAATCAATAATTAATTCGATATAAACGATAATAGTTCAGTAATAAAATAAATTGATAAATTAATTCGATTGATAATATAGAAAAGCAAATAATAAAAATTGTAAGATTTTTCTACTAATGTTAATATGCTGAATTCTGAAGTACAGATTTGTATCTAGATTTTAGATAGAGAGAAGTGTCCTTAATGACGCCAGATGCTGCAGCACATTAACTCTTAAATCTCGGTTATATCATGAACAAAAACATTTGTTCGCAGCAACTTTAATAATTCTCGAAAAACTTTGAAACAAATACTGTTAACTAAAAATTACAATTACATTTTTTCTAATACAATTTATAATTGATAAAAATTATAACTTCGGTTGATTTGATAAAATATTCGTAATTTGGAAATATTTACAAATTTTGACATTCACATGCAAATTTAGTACAAATTATAAAAATGAGTTATAATTATTATAATAATTATTGATAAAAAAAATGAAATTTTCTTTCTTGATAGTTACGAAAATTTAAAAGACTAACTTTTAAATTAAAAACTCGTCGCATTTCGAGTAATTATAAAACTTTCTGAAAATTTTTACATTACAATTATTAAGTTATTATTTTTATATCTGCATTTGAATTTTTTTGGTAATGAAATATAATTTTTCAATTTCATATATATTCGAAAAGTATATTTTTTTCATGGAAATATATTTGTAAAAATCTAGAAAAAAAAATGATTGTAAACTGACCTCCCTTCTATTTTTATCTAAAAATATTTTAAAAAAACGGTCCCCTTTTGAGAGTGAAAAATCGGTAGTAGTTAATCCATTGAGGATCATAAGTTTTAAGGGAAAAAGAACATTACTCGGTGAAAGGATCTCTACAGTCGATCATCAATCTTCTCCACAATCGCCAACATTTACAGTATTCTTCTACTGATATAGCATGAATCCTCGCATCCACCATTTTACACTTTGTTGAAAAATAATATTACACTAGTACCATATAACCAAAACAAATAAACAAATAAATAAATTATCATCGAATATACATTATAAATTAAACGTAAAAAAAAAAATTAATACAATCTAAACAAAAAACAGACTCTATTCTACATCAATTCTATATCATATTGTTATTATATATATCGTAAATTTTCTTTACTCGATACGATTGTTTTCAAACTATTAAACCGAAGCAACGATTCTCAATAGAGAAATGTTCTCAATAGAGAAATAGCTATCGATACGATACATTTTCGATTCATCGATGTTAGATATCTGACAAAGTCGTTCAATGGTCACACGCCGGATGGAATGGAACGGTTGCAATGTCACTACAATAACATTTGACGCAATGCGAGGGATCCGAGTGTCGAGTATCGAACCATACAAGTGGAGCGAACTTTGCCCTTCGATCTTGCCTTTCCAAAAAAAAAAAAAGAAAAAAAAAGAAGAAAAAAGAAAAAAGAAAAAAAACGAAAAAGAAGAAGAATAAGCGGAAAATATCGGAAGGATATATAAGGTTATCGGAATGGGTGTTTTCGTGGCTCATCCTGCGATGAAAAGTCGATCGGTCGAGAGAAGAGGATCAACACCTCTTTTCGAAACGTAGCGGCCCATCCCTAGGAGGCGAAGCTCGATCAGCGCCTGCGCCCCGCTAAATGCCACTATAAGAATCTGACCGGCGCTCGTAGGGACTCAGTCCACCCCGTGGTATACCGGTGTCGTGTCCCCCGTTTCGTTGCATCTTCCTACTCTGGGAACCCCTTTCGTGGACCAGGAGACGTTGTCGCTATGTTGTTTTTCGTACATCAGTGACAAAGAACGAACGATAAGGCGAGCGACTGAGTGGGTCAACGAGAGAGAAAGAGAGCAGGAAAAAGAGAGAGAGAGAGAGAGAGAGAGAGAGAGTAAAAAGTAACAGAGAGGGCGGAGGGTGGATGACAGAGAGGGAGAGAGCGAGCGAGCAAGGATAGAAGGATAGAGAGAGAGAGAGAGAGAGAGAGAGTGTGTTCACACTCCCTCGCGCGCGCGATACAGAAGGAAAAAAGAGTGGAGTGCGAGAAAGTGCAGAGATTCGTAGAAAGAAAAAAAAAGAGAAAGAAAGAGAAAGAGTGATAAGAGCGCGTAACAGAGAGAAAAAAAAGGTTTCCTTTCTCTCCAGTTTTCCGTGAACCTGATAGACAGGACAGCATCCCGTCAACGTCAGCAGCGACGTCGGCATCCTGGACTATCAACGTACGTTCACATCGAAAGAAACGTCCATATTTCCTTAGTAGATGCCTCAGTGTTATTTTTCCTTCTTCTTGTTTCCGCCTTTGTAGCGATTATCGCCATCAGCTTCCCTCGGCTTCGCCAGAAATACCATCCTTCCGGAATTTCGTACGTAACCATGCGACGGATCGGTCTGTTGCGATGGAAAATCCTGTATGCAACGCAACACGCGTATCACGCTTGTACTACGCTTTTTAACGTTTTCTCCAATGGGTTCCAACGGGGACGGAGAGGAAAAGAGAGGAAGAGTTTTCCACCCTCTTTCCGTAAATCTCTTTAACCAACGAAAATTTCCCGTTTCCCGTAAAATTGTTTCG